TATATATATATATATATAACAATCACATGTTGTCTGCATGAGCTGGGTTCATTTCTGCAACATCAACCGTGGGTTTGATGCCAATAAATACCATTTGAACATGGGTGAGAGAGATCGAGCGGGAGCCGAATGAGAGACTGAAAGAGAAAGAGTGTGTTAGAATGTTTGTGTGATGATTTTTGGACAGAACATCAAAAACACAGTCGAGCAAGAAGACAGCTTGTTCTGTTTGCATCATATCTCACACAAACATGCACACACAGTTGTCGGTACACTCACAAACCCCAGAGCACACACAGAATGCAGTCACACAAATGCAGCAAATCATTCATCCATCTTTTATGCTAGGATGCGCAAAACTTCGGCATCCTTTTGTAAATTGCAGCTAATGCACGCGAGAAAAAGGCAAACAGAGCACTGTGAACGTAAAAACAGAAAGAGGAATTGGAAAGTGGAAGGAAATGGGAGGGATGGATGGAGAAGAAGACTGTCAAAAGGAAAACGTAAAGCTCAAGGAGATTAGAGATTTCTTTCTTAAGGACATATTTTAAACCCTGTAGGATATCCTGGATCTTTTCTTGTTATTTTATTTCTGTGCTGCCTTCTCAACATTCTCCTTTAATTTTTTTTGTCTTTCTGTATTATTCATCCACAGAGTCCCATTAAGACAGAGCTGCTCTGAACAGGCTTCTGTTATGTTGACTGGTCTAATTTGCATTTACATTACATGTTAGACAAGCCGCAGGTGCTCCCAGCTGCTCTAAAACCAATGCAATATCCAAAATATGAGATGGACAAGGATTGTCTTGTGATTTTCATTTGTGAGCTTTTTAAAACTAAACTGAAATTTAAAAAAAAAGTCTCAACAAGATAAATAGTGCACTGAAACTGTAAAGAGTAGACATGTTTAATATGTACATGTTAAGCTAGCACCATTACATTGTCATGTATGAGCAACTTTAGCCCGGTTGACTCAACCTACGGTAAAATTAAACTACATGTGTGCCTGCAGCCAAAGTGGTTTTGGCAAAAACCATAAATTTGTTTTTACTGGGTAAATGACTTTTGATATTCTTAACAGACTGACCACTTACAAAAGCTTTATTAATATAATAAAATAACCCCCCCCCACACACACACAAACACTCATCTATCTATCAGACTATCTATGTATCTATGTATCTATCTATTGATCTATCTGTGTATCTATGTATCCATCCATCCATCCATCGAGAGAGAATCATTGTATGTATTTTTTTTCTTTGCTAAATCTATTTCATCACCACAAAAATAACAGAAACTAATTTTCTTTGTATGTATTTTTTCCAGTGAGTCAGAGTGGTATTGCTGGTGATGTTTGTCCTGATCCTGGAGTTCCTGAAAATGGCAAAAGGATGGGCTCTGTCTTCCAGTAAGTTCATTTTCTACTTTATGTTTCTGACATGTTTTTTTTTCCTGCCTGTTTATATTCTTGGCCAATACTACCGAGTTCCAGAATTATTCATCTATCAAAATTTGGACACATGTTTGTGTCCTGTTTTTTTTTTTTTTTTTCACTTCAATAAATTACCTTTATTCAAACAAATACAAAGTCTAGATATAAAGACAATAGATACACTGATCAGCCATAACATAATGGCTACTGATTATAAAGTAACAAGGTTCCAATGCAGTTTTGTTCAGGGAGCATCATACACATGGGTTCCTTTGACATCTTGGCAGATGGACCACTCCTCCAAAATGAAACGGCTTGTTTGGAAAACTTCAGCTGTTGTCAGGCAAATTTTGGAATGTGTCTTTGGGCCTGTATTTTTTCAGAGTGTTTTACTTAACTAATCTTCTTAAACACAAAAAATATTTCCGTTGTACATTATGTTTACCTCCCTCTTTGCTTTGCTTTGCTTCGACTTTACTTGCTGGGATTACAGCCAAGATTAATGTTTGCCATTCGTGTCGATTCTGAGTCATCCAGGACAAAACAATTCTATTAAGCCCTTCAGAAAAAAATATAATTGTCTGTAAGTAGTGGGATTAAAACTCATCAACACCATCTTAACTGTGTTGTCGCAATAAAGCGTCAGATCCCAAACTTGGGTTTGTGTTTTAATCAGGTGATAAAAATGAGTTTACTCTAGATCTGGCATTAGACATTTTCCAATTAAAATACTTCACTACGTTTCCAGGGAGACTCCAACGATATGTTATTTATATACTGACATCATTCATCAAAATATGCAGGGGACTTAATCTTACAGCCCAAGCTTTATAAATTTGAAAAAACAAAAAAACAAAACATAAATCAGGTAACCACAGTTGCTGGGAACTAATTTAAAGAACAGTTTTACTATTATTTTACTATGTTAAATTCACTAATGGGAAATTTCCATGTTAGTCAAACCTACGTGTCTATCAGGGACTGACCTGCGTACCCTTTAAGTTAAAGCAACATTTAAGTAACAATGTCAAATGTTGATTCTGCACCACACAAAAAGCAACATATAGAAGACATCTATCAGAGCTGGAGATTAATATTATTATACTCCATCCCAACAAACAACAAACTGTCCAGATGACTTGACTGAAAATTGTTGGATTGTATACCTGC